AGCAGTTTTGCTTTCCATTTAAGCAATGCCCACATGTCTGCTTTTAGATCAGTAGCGCCTCTTTTATTTTCAGAGATGCGGGGTTCTTCGCCCTCACAATTCTGCTCATCTGTGGTGCCTACCTCATTGTAAAATTGGGGTACGTGGAATACAGTTCCGCAAGAGAATTTACAGAAACCAAACATTTGTTATTTTCCAACCCGCTCCATACCCCATACCGAACCCATTTGTCTTCTCAGGAGATTAATGTGCTGCTCAGATCATCTCAGATAGGTCTGCTGTGATGTTAAAACACTTAATGTTCACCTACTTTACCCAGTCTCAAATTTAAGACATGCAAACTGGTCAAAAAAAAAAAGGCACAATACACAAATTTTGGAGTCTTAGATTGGTGAATAATTTAATTAAAAGCAACGTGAAATGTTTACCTCTGAATATTATAATATATGTGGACAGTATAGTGCATACGATTTGCTACTTTTTTTCTTCAGGAAATTGTACAAAAATGTACTTTTAGATCAATTGACTTGCAATAATGCACTTAAATCAGGGATTTGGCTGGTTAGTGCCCCTGCTGGTAAATGCCTGAACCACATTATCTGGACTCAAAAAACAACTTATTCTGACTAAATAACTCACTTCCTAAAGACGGATTTCATAACAATGGCATTGAAGACCCATTTTGGGTTCCCCCAAAAAGCCTTGCAGTGAACAGTTTCTAAACCAGTTCTTAAAATTGGCCACCATTTTGCTAATAAAGAGCCTTTATTTATAAGAGTGAAACCATTGAGATGAATGAGAGTTGTAAAGGACAGCTAGCTTTCTCCAGCTATTATAGACCTCCTTGATTCAAACATGAAGCTATCTTACTGAGAACAAAACAGATGGATACTATGCCAAGTCCTAAATCATCTGGCTTTAAAGATAACAGATTATATCTATTTACATACATTTAAACATTAGCACTCAGCTCAGACAGTCGATCTCTCTTCGTGTATATAGTGACCTGTTAAATGGGGGGGGGGGGGGGGGGTCACAAATAATCAGCGCTAGCGGCTGCTGCTTATCCAGGCAAGACCCATTGAGACTTTTAATCTCACTACCTTGTGTGAATTTATCTTTTGAATCATTGAAGTTGTTACTTATTTATTTGCTTTTACTTAGTGGGTTAATTTATTGACACGAAGCACATATTTATTTATTTATTACATTTACGAGGATGGTACGAGGTTGTTTATTTATAAGTAGAACAGATTTTTTAAGGGGTAACTGAGAAGACAGGAACTAGTGTGGGAAATAGAGTTAAGTTTTTGTCAGATAAATTGGCCTTTTTTGCCATGGTTTCAACGGTTCAACTGCATCCTCTGAGGCTCTTGTTTTTGGCGGGAAAACTGTTGACACACAGCTGACAGAACTCACGGAAAGGCAATAACTGGTTGACAGAGGCATGGCTGACAGTGAGTTGACCTACCTTTTCTAACCCTCCTGCAACCCAATATTTTTTTCTTGGTGACTAATTTTGTTTTTGTTCTTAAAATGGATGTCAGTTGAGTTATAGTGAAATGGCATTGTCTCCAGGATTGGATGTTGAACATTCTGCACCAGTAATTCATATGAGCGCAATTTTTTTGCTGTGTTTGGTTGATTTGAGGTATCCTGATAACTGTTAGAAGACATATAGCAGTATTTACACTCACCGATTGTCTTTTAAAGAAAAGAACAGCGTTTATATATAGAGAATGTTTAAAGGAAATCCCATCAAAGCTCTTTTCATTCCGTATGTTTCCATTGATAACATAAACAGAACCATTTGAGATGAATGAAATAAAAATAGATTATTATTATTATATCTCTAAGGCATTGCATAGTATTTGAGGACAATTATATGAAACTGTCGGAGATATTGTATTAATCTTGTATAAATAATATTGTTTTCACTTCAAACCCAAGCCTTTTCCCTCTTTGTATGGAATCAGAGTTTATGTGTGTGGGATGGATTTTTTTTCACCTAATAGAACTCTAAATATAAATATTATAACTCATGCACTAACCCCACTGTAATCTGTAAATATATATCAATATGTTGAGGTCATCTGTCAGAAGGTTTCAACTGTTTTTGAGGCTGCCTGGCTCGTGCACGTAGCCTCGTGAGACCATCCTGATCTCGCGAGCTTTCAAGGTTTCACTCGCAGATCAGTCTGGATACTTTCCGTTAAAGAAAATTTGGGAGCAGTTCACCAAACGAACGTCCAATCAGCGTTGGCTTTGAGGCGGGTTGAGGTGTGACGCAACGAGAAGCGCGTCAGTTCAGTCTAAAGAACATGTCGGCTTCAGCGGATGAAACTAGCATCAGCGTGGCTATCGAGCAAGTTTTATCGGAATTACAGAGTATTTCTTCACTGAAAGAAGAGCAAAACACTGCTCTGGAGGCTTTTCTCAGAGGAAAAGATACGCTCTGTTAGTACGTCATATGCTTCGTTGATCTGATTGGTTGATTTGGCCCGTCTATCACCAACATAGGCCAATCAGCTAACCAGTATTTTCGCCCCTTACCAAAACTACTTCAACGGAAGGTTTCCAGATGGATATGCGGAGCAAATCCATCTGGCGGAGTCAGGTTATCGTGCACGTCTATACCCCTCTAAACAAAACGAGTCAGCAGAAAAACCTGGTCAAGGAAAGTGGCAAGATATGCAAAAAGTCTTTTAGTGATGAATCACATCAGCAATCGATAGTATAAGAGACTTAAGCTTGTTTCACTTTGTACATTGAGCTAATATCAAAGACATGTTAATACAGGCTAAATGCAAGAATATTAACAGATGTTTATTGTGTGTCTACATTGACACCGCGTGGGCAGCGCGCACACGCCTGCTGCCTTCCTCATATGATCGAGGCAGGGTTACTTTTCCAAGTCTATGAAATACTGGTACTACTGTGTAAATTTCGCTTACCTACAAGACAGTTCTGGCTGGCAGATATGGAGTGTTTCTGTCTGATTTACACTATAAATTTAAACCATTATCAAAGGCTCTCTAAAGGAGTTTTACTAGCTTACCACATCCAGAGTGTGTTGGCAGTTTCTGTTCACCCTCCAGCTAGCTTTTAACTCTAAATGTCTGGCGCTTTTAATTGTTAAGCGAATAGAATAAATCATCTGTTCATCTAACTCTTCCCAGCTAACATATGTCAGGATTGTTTCTTTTTATAAATTTGAGAACGACATGATTCAATAACAGAAAGCGACTCCTTTGTTTGCTCTTTTATGTACATGTACATGTAATACTAAAACAATATTAATAATGCTTTTGACATTCATACAGGGTCAGTAACGACTTTTATTCTGGTGCAAACATGGTTTGGGTGAATGTGGTTCAACAGCCTAATGAGCAATGTCCTCACACTGATTATTGAAAATGTTTCTTTTATTCATTTGGTATTTTATTTCACTGGTGTGATACGGGCATGTCACGGTTCTCGGTTATTTTGGGTACATTTATTTCTGTAAATACTGTTGTGGTGGTTAATTTAAAATGAAAGCGAAAAAAAGACAAAGTTTTATGAACTCCATCTCATGGCTGCAGTGCCTTGTCAGACAAGCGTTGTTGTTTTCAATTGATTGGTTCCAGTCTGCACCGTTTTAGTAAAAGTTGTACAAAATAAGCACCATATTTGCGTCATTAATTTTATTTGACGTTAAATTATAAAGGCATAGTTCACCCCAAACTTTCTTAAATGATCAAACTGTATTTGTTTCCGTGGAACAACATATAGGCTAAGGGTGAATCAATTACAGAATTATAATTTTTGTGTGAACTATCCCTTTAGCACATGCTTCAGCTGTGTATGCTGCTTTTAAATCTGCATGCACACACAAACACAATTACCTTGTCTATTCTTAGACATACCATCTGTATTAAGTGTTTTGACCCCAAGGACCACCATTTTTTTTTTTTTTTATGAATAAGGCTCTAAAAAGGAAGCAAAACTTAGTAATGGTTTGCAGGTCATCAAAAACCTGTCCCGCAGAGCTTGATAAAAGATGTTTGTGGCTCTGCTTTATAAGCATGTGTTATATAAGAGTCTTAAGTAAGCTATTTTGCCAAATTTAGCCTGATGTTAACACGCCTGAAGCAAGTCACAATGAAAACATCTTCACTTGGCACCCAGTGGATTTCACAAATAATAAAAACGCAAATAACCGAGAATGTCAGAAGAAGAAAATGGATCAAAGGTGAAGCAACTGTTGAGGTATGATTATGAGGTAAGATGCCCGTCTTACTGTCAGCCTTCAGTAAAGCATTTTTGCCATTCTAAAATGATGAGAGACTCCATTTCAAGTCTTTGTAAGTAGAACACAGGCAAACTAATTATGAGCACAGTATCGTTCAAAAGTTTGGGGTCAGTGAGATTTTTCTTTGAAAGAATGTTCCGCAAAGATTAATTAAATTAATCAAAAGTGACAGTAAAGACATGTATCCATCTTTCTTGAACCATTTTAAAGACCTTTAAAATATTTATTTAGACCTTTATTTTAAAGAACGTTTAAATACAGTATGTCATTTTGGTGATCAAAGATGAGTTTTAAGTTATACAATTATTGACTACAGGGGGACTTTAACTTTCTTTTTTAACTTCATTAAGCAGCACCACCATTTTCAACTGATGATAAACGAATAAATGTTTCTTAAGTACTAAATCATCATATTAGAAAGATTTATAAAATATCGTGTGACACTAAAAACTAGTGTAATGAGTAATGATGCCGAATATTCAGCTTTACCATTACAGAATAAAGTATATTAAAAAAGTCATTTTAAATTTTAATAATATTTCACCATATTACAGTTTTTGATGGTATTTTGCCTTGCTGAGCATAACTTCTTATCAAAAACATAAAAAATCATACTGACCCCAAAATGTATAACAGTAGCGTATAATATTATGGCAATCTCCGGTGAAACCAATAGCATTGTCCATGGCTCCACATAAATATTGAATGCTGGTGACAATTTTTTAATCATACAACAATGGTGTTTACATGAATAGTAATATTAGTAACAAGGAAATCATGATGCCGCTAATACATGTCGCATAAAAAAAACGTGTTGCTGTGACAGAAAATAAGAACACATTATAGTTATGTACAGTAGCTTTGATAAGCAAAAGGGCAAGATGGACTCCTGGTGTCCAGTGGAGAGAAGTAAACAGCACAATGTGTACCTTTTAACAGCAAGTTAACTAGTTAGAGAAAGAAAAACATATAACCATAAACGTGACCTGTTACTGTACGACAAACATCAGTATGAATCAACTTTCTCTTGTTTCTCTACCCATCTCTGCATTATAAATGATCAACAGTATTACATTTCATACCGGACCTTTGAGGTCAAAGGTTATATTTGAAATATTTCCCATTATATCAACAAATCGGCTATCATCACAGCAGTCATGTATGGATAGCAGTAAGAGACTCTTTTAAGTATCGGTTAAGAAAATACCTTCAGCTTCGAAGCAGCTATGGTAAAAAAAATATTTGTCTAAAGTTTTTAATCTCTTCTTTTACAAAAGTACAGGTAAAGATCATATTTTTGCTGTAAAAAAATCTAAAATAATTACGTATGAAAATAAAAGAGCAAAAGGAGCATGTCACATTGCTGGTTCAGTGTTAATGTATAGGTGCAGCAACACAGATAGGGATAATGGGATTTTCTCATCAAGTGATGTGTCAGGCGTGCAGACACACACAAACACACACACGCACACACACGCACACACGTTTTCCAACATGCCTCTGTTCCATTCATTCGGCAAAAAGAGTTTGAAAGATATCAAAAGAGAAAAATTACATAGAGGGAAACGTTCTCTTACCCAAAACCTGGTTCAATTCTACCCATAATTCATCAGTTATTGTTTCTCATCCCAGATCCCTACCCACAATATAGATTCATTTCAAAAAATAGACTCATATGAAGTTTACATGCCTAAGCGGAAATGTCTTTAGTCAAACGTGTCGATTTTCCAACAGTGGCAATCTAGAAGTGAAATGTTCATCTCTCCCATTCTGACGGGGGGTGAAGGCGGGTGCACACTTCATCTCTTTCAAAGGTGACTCTCTGCATCACTCTTCTCTAGGATACCATTCTCCCGGTTCAAAGGTGAAAGTGCCTGTCCATTGGCATTGCTCTCGTTAAGTCTTTTCACTCTATACGTCTCATAGTGGATGTTGTGAGTGACGTCCTTCAAATCTTGCAAATGGGACCTTGAAAGTAGAGCGCAATAGAGCATAACATCAATTTTGATCCCACAATAACATACCCTAAGGGAAATATGCACAGTGTAAAATAAAAGTCATTCTCCTATGTTGAATTGAATTGTTTACTGACTACATTAGCTTTTTATGATCCCTTTGTGGATATTCAGTTGGTGTTTCCTACTCTAATTTGATCTCCGCTTCAGCGGGAGGCCGATCAAAAAGTGTGAAAGGTGATTCAAAAATGTGGAGCGTTAAAACGGACATCCTTTGTATCCTGTTTCAGCAGGGAATCACTCTCACACCATCTGTCAATGGGCCGCCATCCAAGAGTTATGGTGAGAGGGCTTTCAAAAAACATCACTTAGTAGGGCTATAATTTATAACATTTATAAAAAAATATAATTTATAAAAAATTTCTCGAAAAAAGACAGGGATTTCGGATATTATCATCTTAATGGGGAAATTTTGTCCCCATAATGTAAGCTATACCTTTGTGACCTGGCCTCACCTGATCGGACTCTGTAATTAACCTGTCCTTTACTGAGCTCACAGGAGAGGGACCTTCTCAGCTACTACTCATATATTAACTTAACCAACTGAAATGGTTGTATGCTTTCTAAAGTTACAAGTTACTACACCTCCAAGTTGTTAGTTATATGAAGATGTTGTGTTTTCAGTGCTGTTGCAAGGATGAAGAGCAAAAAAAAAAAAAAAAAAAAAAAAAAACCTTTATAAAAGTGATGTCATTTGACCAGAAGTTAATTTGAACTGCTGCTGCATGAAACTCTGACATCTGTTGACCAATCTGTTGTTGAAATGCTAATGCTATTTCTGTCATAACTTGCAACCAACCATATAAGGGATCAAATAAAGAATCAGGTAAGATTATACAAGATTCAAGAATCAAGTAAGATTATACAGGACACACACACACACATACACACACACACAAACTATTTTTATGTTTTATGGGGACTTTTCATATACATGAATGATTTTTATACTGCACAAATTGCATTTTATATCCTCTTACACTAACCCTACACCTCAACCAACCCATCACAGAAAACGTTCAGCATTTTTACATTTTCAAAAAACATCACTTAGTAGGGCTATAATTTATAACATTTATAAAAAAATATAATTTATAAAAAATTTCTCGAAAAAAGACAGGGATTTCGGATATTATCATCTTAATGGGGAAATTTTGTCCCCATAATGTAAGCTATACCTGAACCACAGCCACACACACAACACACACGTTTCTAGAGTGCAATGAAAATGACGGAAAAAAAAAGAATATAGTCTTGTTTAATAAAGGATGGATTTCTGTATGATCCCATGTACGATTGGTTCCAAATTATGATATGATATAATTATATGATTATATAAATGTTCTTTGCTAGATAGGATAGATGAGATATAGATGAGATAATGTCTAGTTGCAAAACAAAAAAACAAAACAATACAAAACAACATTACTTGAGCCAGAAATGTACATGTTGGACCATAGCACCAGTGTTTACACTCTTCAGGAAGTTAGCCTATGAATACCTACAGTTGTTCACCTATAGTTGACCATTAAAAAAAAATGTTTTATCCTAAAATAGTATAGGATATCATTGATCACCGTTTGGATCATATTTCAAAAACTAAATTCCAAATGAAAGTTTAGGAAGAGCATGTTCTACATCCTCTAATCCCATCAACCAGAATGCAAGGGTATTAATGGCTACTCCCACTTTCCCTAAAAAGCAGTCTGTCTGTCATATGCTAATATCATTCAATTATGATATTTCAATACATGCAGTTAAAAAATTGACTTACCTAATAAGAAGATCTCTCAAGTGTGCAAACTCGCAATGCGCAACATTTTCAACTGAAATAAACAAAATACAAAGGCATGTTCATGAATTCATCCAGGCATTTTGCATCACTGTACTTTCTATACATACCACTTGATGGCAGTGTTGAATAACCTAAATCACAGACAAGCTTGCCTTGCAAAGCCTGTCAGCCTTCGTTGTACAATTAGATTTGACAATTGTTACAGTTACCCTGCTGAAAAGACCAAGTAGGTCAGCCAACAATCTTTCGGGAAAAGCTAGTTAAGAAGCCTGGCACCAGCATCCAAAATACAACATATTACTGGTGACCAGCAGTTCAAGGAAGACATGATTATTTCTTTAGACTCTTCACCTTCAATGATCCCCCACTTTGTTTTTCTTCCCAAAACTTTGTTCCCGTTCACCTGGTGTTCCTTATCTGTTCCCACCACAGCAAAAGGGATGTTTTCCTAAAAGAAACATTCGCAATGTCATCAAGCACAAAGTATAAAACCACTTAAAGCAATTAAAGGGACAGTTTACCCAAAAACAATTTAAATCAAGTTATTTTAATTGGTTGTAATGAAGTCTCAAGAGTAGCATCATCATACCCTAATCTTATCGTTGAGTATCCGGTCTTCAGTGTCCTCATCATACTCGTTCTGTGGATACACTCTGATCCCATTGGCCTGGAGGTCCTGTCTTATCTGCAGAGAGAGGCTTCCAGTTAGATGGATTACACTGATTTTTACCACCTACTGAACAACCACATACACAAAAACCACACAATTGCCCTGGGGGTGAAATACGACAGCAGCTCCTCTCCCTCGAGCTCTTCCCGCTATATTTTACTAGCCTCAATCTCGATCCTCATGCATTCTTGTACTCGGAGGCCACAGTAAAGTTCACTAGGAAATTCTTTTTTTCCCCCTCACAGCCAGAATTTTGGGCCCGAGGTGCAAAGCATTAGAGTTTAATGCCTTTGCTGCCATGTTTTCGTGTGGGGGAGGATTTTGGAGTGCGGCTGTTGAACATGGATATGATATCTGCGATTGATATCTTGAGCACAGTGTGACGTCCGCCCCCGCATGGTGCTCTACTCAGGCTATTGAGCAGTGAGAGACAGCTCTGGATAATGGGCTGAAATGACAGAGTACATCATTAGGAGTGTTGTTTGGTGTATATTGATAGGAGACACACTGCGTGCGGGGGCCGTTCTGGCCCTGCGGTCCGTGCCGTCGGAGCTGTCCAAAAGCGTTCCGTGGGGAGAACTGATGGCAAGTGGCCCGGGCTGAAGTAGCTGCTATACATCAGTCAGAGGAGAGACCGTCTCCCGACGGAGACGTCGCAGACACCGCTCGTAACCTTAGCTTGGCCTATTCATTTTTCCAAGCCAGAGCCAAAGGACCTTTGGAGATTCGAATGCAACGTACGGTTCTCTCTCAATCCATTCTGGTTTTTCAATCAATCTCACTTTTTATCCACACAGCTGAACTGTGAATTCTAACAATTCCAGCATTTACAGCAGCAGGTCATCCATATTCATGACCTCAATTATGCGAAGAACTGAATATTTACGTGTGGGCGGGAAATATAGAGGATGATTCGATTGTGCATGCATATGATAAAATGTGCGCAGGTGTAGATGACGGACAGCTCACCCTCTGTTTGAACTCTAGCCTCTCCTCCAGAGTAAGCGTGTCTGCTTTGGCGATCACAGGAACGATGCTCACTATCTTCCCCAGTCTCCTCATAAACTCCACATCTATAGGGCGTAACCTGTGGAAGGGCAGGATAGATCAAAGCCCATGTTTCACTGCTGACACATTCGACCTCATTAACACCCAGTATTACCATTGATTTTGACTTTAAATACAGGTGAAAATGGGGTACACACCATACTTTCGATAAAAGCGTCTGCAAAATTAAACGGAACTTAATCAATCTAGATCATTTGATGCTAAAATATCATTACATGAAGTAACATAAAATAATATTACATACACCTTCATTCAAAAGTTTGGAATCAGCAAGTTTTTTTTTCTTTTATAAAATAAAATAAAACTTTTATTCAGCAAGGATGTGTTAAATTAATAAAACTGTCAGTAAAGACATTTATAATATTACTAAAAATTTGCTTCTAATAAATTAACTCTCTATTCATCAAAGAATCCTGAGAAAAATGTTTCACGATTTCCACAAAAAGATATTAAGCAGCACAACTATTTTCAATGTTGATAATGAAGAAATGTTTCTTGAGCAGCAAATCAGCATATTAGAATGATTTCTGAAGGATCATGTGACACTGAAGACTGGAGTAATGATGCTGAATATACAGCTTTGCCATCACAGGAATCAAATCAAATGAATGCAGCCTTGGTGAGCAGAGACGTGAGAAGATGTATATAACCCTCTTGTTTTGCAGCTAAAAGAAGGATTTTTCATGACATCTCACTGGATTAGTGGGTTTAAATCTAAGACTTTCTTAAGAGATTCTTAAATGAAGCCTTGTCATATTAATGTGACAGAAGCACAACAGCGTTTTAACATGTCTGGCTAGGTGTGAACACATCATACGTGCAAGAAGTCGACACGCACCAGTGTCCAGTGGCTGGCAGGAAGTACACGCAGCAGTGAACGCGGGTGTCAGGGATTCTTCTCTTCCTGTTGACATTCAGCTCCTCCTTCAGGTATTTTTCATACTGTTCATTGACGTACTTTACAATGGGCTCCCAGCTGAGAAAAAAGACACAGGGAAGGGTTAACATTACAATTAACAACACATGCTTATACTTAAAGTTACTTAAAATGACATTGTCATTAATAAATAAATATTCTGAAAAACACTAAGGCATGATTTTAGTGTCAAATAAATGATTACTTTAACAGAAAAACCCCAAATGCTCTTTAATTACTACGAGAATTTATCTCGCACATATTTGATCTCACACTGCTTTAGAGCTCTCTTAGATATTGTGGGGTTCAAAAGCCTGAGACATCTAGTGAAAAAGCTTCTATTTGGCATTTTCATTGAAAATTATATTATTAGCATAACAATTTAAATGAAAAGTTGAATTAACATAAATTTCAGGATGTCTTTGTATTTGGTTTGTGTAAAACCTGATGATCATGTTTTCCGACATGGTTTCATAATAATCCAAAGAATGCCTTGTGCTTCAGCATCTGACCTTCTGTAAAAAGGTCACAAATGTCAGTCACAAATATACTTTTAAAATGTCTTTTTATTAGTGACCTAGAAATAGTACAGAATCTGGAATGGTTGGTTTAGTGTTTTTACATTTTTTTTTTTTTTATATTATTCATAATTCTAAAGCTTTCTGCTTATTTCCAAGTTTAAATTAGATTTTGAATCCTATATTTTTCGTTGTGGCCTCAGACTTTTGGAATCTCCTGTATTTGTATATAGTATGAATTGTATATGGTAAGGTTTAAATGTTGCTCTCACCAGTTCTCATTGTTGATTTGGTCTCCAAATCCAGGAGTGTCAATTACCGTAAGCTTCATCTTCACTCCTTTCTCCTCGATGACTAGAAAATAACAAGACAAAAGAGTTAGAGAAGAAAAGAATGAAAGGATAAAATGTCCTGTTGACAAGGATTCACCAGTCTTTTTTCCCAGCAACATACATTTCTTAGAAACTAATCAGTTAAAATCGCATACTGAAGACCCTGAGCTTTTCATTTAATCTCCATCTCTCATATAATACTGCAGGAATGCTTACAACAGGAAGTCAGCCTGCAAAAAGTGTCTAATACGCTGTCTGTGCAAGCAGGGACCCATACTGTATCCCTGGCATTGGTTGATTGGCATTTGTTGTTGACTCATCATGTTAATCTTTCTGGATGAGGCAATCAAGGTAAATATGACGAGATTGTAACAAGGAAAAATTAAACTGTCAGTCAACACTCCAGATTCAAAGTGCTATAACTCTATCTGATGATGATCAATTTTCGTACGCAGTGGGGCATTAGCAAAAAAGAGTGCCAGTTTTTAGATCGGTGGGCCAATGATTGAAAACCCCTCATGATCAGCTAATGGAAACACATATGCTCATCTTGGCGTGACTCAGCAACAAAGCAGGGCTTAGTTCCTCCCATATTCACCCACATGGAGGGAGCAGAGCTGAATGGTGGCATTGAGCGGCCCGCCACTTCATTTTCTGCACTGTGTAGTCTTTGAGAAAAGGGGGGATCGTGTAACACTCATCTCCCCTGGCGGTCAGTCTGCAGGCCAGATTTTTTTCACAGGCTGTGAGGGCCACTGGGCCGCTTTGTAGTGTGTGGAGGTGTCAGGCACCCTGAGACTTTGGTGCTCTTTGTTTTCCACAGGCCTGCTCTTTGGAAAGACACAACTGCTGGGGAAGCAAGGGACAGCAAGACATCTGCTAGACGAAATGTCTCAAATCGGAGACTGCAAAGGCAATTTATTAGTTTAGCAGTAACACAAGCAGTAGTTTTGTCATTTTGATAGAGAATACCAGAGACGGTCTATCGTTTCAGCCTATTTCAGAAGGTCATATTTACACTGATAAACACTGGAATGATCTGTAATAAAGAAGAAAAATGTTGTTTGGAGATAAAAAAAGCACAATTAATCAGAATCTAGACAGAAGGTTCTACACTTTTTTTCTTGTCTAAAGAAATATTGCTCTGAAGTTGCTCTTTCACAGCTCAGAAGAGTTAATGTAGTAATCAATTATGTTTCAACTCAATGTTTTGATAAGAAGAAAATTATAATAATAAGAAATATTTCTTGAGCAGCAAATCATCATATTAGAATGATTTCTGAATTATCATGTGACACTGAAGACTGGAGTTATGATGCTGAAAATTCAGCTTTACCATCACAGGCCTATAATTTAAAATATACCACAATATTACTGTTTTTATTGCATTTTTGATCAAATATGCAGCCTCGGTTAGCATAAAGAGACTTTTTTCAAAAATATTTTAAAATCTTACCGACCCCAAACATTTGAACGCCTGTGTATATTCAATTCAATTAAATTAAATTAAATTCACATTTATTTGTAGAGCGCCTTTCACAATACATATCATTTCAAAGCAGCTTAACAGAAAAAAAAACGTGTCTACAATACCGTTTAGAGTGATCTGTTATCAGAGGTGACTGTGTCAAGTTATGTATTTCAGAAATACAAATCATGCATTAAGCTAACATTAAGCTTATTAAAGTAATGAATACATCATTTATATAGTTTAATGTTAAGAATGTTCCCCAACCGTAATCGTATAGATATTAGATAATAATAAATTCTCGCATGAGGGCTAATGCAATCGAAATAGTAAAATACAGTAAATATTTACATCATGTGTCAAGCGCTGCAGCCTCGCCTTTCCGAAGGCTACCATAAAAAAACCCAAAGAGGAACAGGACACTCTCATTCACTGTAATGTTTACGTTGTGCTACGGAGAGAAGTCAGTGAGGGGTGTCTCCTGAACCATGGGGATATCTCAGGAAGTCACAAGCTGAACCGACTTATCGTCAATCTTCTTTTGTTAAGAAACAGCACACCCAGCGTCTCCCATTATTTTATTCTCATCCACCCACTCTCTCATTCTACAAGTCAAACATTTATAAACTATTGGGCCATACGTTTTGAGAGGTCTGTGAGAAATGAGGTTTGGCTATGGTAGGGCAGAGATACAACAGATGCTGCTACTGCAACTGGATAGAAACCTTCTTCCACTTGCAATGACACTGCTACGCTAAAAAAAATAAAATAATAAACACTTGTTCTTGATTTTACACAGAATACTTCCAAAAGCTCCTAAGACTTTCCACAAAGAAATATAACAGCAGAGTTATAACAGGCTGAGACAGCAACTGCGAAGATTTTGATGCACAGAATTACAGGAAATTACAGTTTCAGATCTAAAAACAGATGTCAACATTTTGACCTTTGGCTAACTGAAGTGAAAGCTGTGAAGAAGCTAAGCTACTGCGAGAGTGTGATACTGAATAACATTTACATATCTAAAATCTGTCAAGGGGAAGTCAGAAACGGAAGAGAGATCAACAAGCAGATCTAGGTCTAAAGCTTTACCTGAAAACAAAATCAGATGACTAATTTCAAAACCAGTAGGCAGCAAACTGAAGGAAGAAGGACAGAGTTTTAGCGTAGCTGCTACGAAACCTGCACATGGCGGTATAGCAACAACTAACTCCATTGCTACGCCCTGGCATGGCACTAACTCTCTGTGGGGTTTTGTAATTGGATGTGTCTATGCACATATCCAGACTGGGGGTAAAGTTCAGCGGTCTTCATACATTTCTGCTATCACGTAGGAACCATGGCAATTAACATAGCAGGCTACGGTAATGACCTAGCCCAGCAAAGGCCTTTACACAGCAATTGACTGACACTTAAAACTACAAAAGGAGGCATGCTTCTCTGGCGTCTCACAACATCCTGAGACAGAATCATTAGATTATGTTCTCTCTATATCTGATATGCTAAATTGTGGGTCATTCAATTAGAGGGCAGATTTGCAGTTAAACTACATAACATGGGTAACTCCACAAACTTTTGACCCAGATGAAAATGTCAGGGGTAATTAGATAGGGCAATAGCATATACATTTTATTAGTTAGTCTCATTCTTGCAGTGCAACATGCCTTTGCAATCCATCCAAAGATAGTACATTTACTTTACTTGTCCCACCGGGCAGTTTCTGAATACAAGACACAGAGGACCACTATCAAATTTTGTGTTTGTTAGACCCCTGTCAGCCGGTCTACAGTGAGAAATGAAGATGGATAGCTGGGTGCGACTACACTAACTACTGAGGGCAAACACCCCCCACCCCCCCACCCCACCACACACACACACACACACACACACACACACACACACACACACACTCACACACTCAAACAATACTTTCATTTAAAGGACTAGTGAAGTTGGCTACGCCATCTGCCTTTCACACCTCTTTCCAACGATGCATGGTGGCGCCGCCAGAAGATAAATGGAGATTCATTGCTTTCTCATTGCATATGCGGGATGTTTGAAGGTATGTGCCTTTCTGCGTGATCTACAGCTCAGCTCCAGTACAAAAAGGAGTAGCAGGACCTTTGTGTAGCTACTAACATGAGTTTTTTTTATTTATCTTATCGCTAATATTGTATATTTGATTGTGCATGTTAATTTCCCCTAATTTAACATTTAGATTACCTCTGGCACCATCTAAAGCCCAAAGTATACTTTGTTTTTTATGCATACTGTGCACGTGATGTAAATTTAAACATCAGCAAAGTATGCTGGAGATAAATGGCATCTAATTATGACATTTTGATAAAAAACAAGGACAATAAATTCATTATAAATAAATTAATCCTTCACAATAAGATAACATTTAAAAATAGTTTGGGTGAATTTCATGCTGACTTAACAGTGTTAAATGTAATATTTAGATAATCTTAAAATAAAAAATCCATTTTCATACTGTACTTTCTAATTTTTGTGATGCCTAAAATCAATCTTTAAATTTAAAATGTAAAGCAATTAATTTAAAATGTACGTTTTTTTATTTTGACCAAAAAGTATTGAATTTTAACATTTTTCGGTTATTGGCCATGTGGTAACATTTATCTGCTTATTGATACCAGATAGTGCCAAAATGCAATGTTTATTGACAATTTATTGATATATTTGAGACGTTTTGCTTTCAGGAAGAAATCAACCATAGTTACCTCAAAACCAAAGGAAAAATCAAAATAAGCTTTGCTTCATTGCCAAAACAAGCCTAAATGAAACTTAACTCTACACATCTACACAAAAACACACCTGCCTGAGACAAGAACCCAAGCCTCTATTGATTGTAACTGGAGGTAATATGCGAGACAGAGATGGTACATTGCTCAATCAACCAATTCATTAACTCAGCTGAGCTTGCTTCACTGAAGTCAGACGCTGTCTATAAGTGGTGGCTTCAATTAGACCAGGAGTCATCTTCTGACCCATGCGATAAAATATGGCCCTGTGTGTGCTCTTCCTCTATCATTCTCTGTGAAAGAGAGCTCATGACTACAACTGTGGCCCGATCTCAACAGTTGAAGTGTGATTGATCTCTCCTTATCCGTCCCCCTTGCAGGCTTTTTAATTTCTCTTTCCTTTGAGAGCACATGCTCCGATCACTCTGGCTCTTCTCCAAGTCAAACCCTACAAAACACTGAGCTCTGCCTCCAGCTCATCCTGTCTAAATGTCACTCTTCTTCCATCCTTTCAGAAATCACTCCGGCCAATACACTCTGTCATGCCGGGTTCAGACTACTCAATATTTTTGTCTGTTACGATAGTCACTGTGTCAGATTATGCAATTTTGATTACTAAATTCTTGTTGTGTAGTGGCCAAGAAACATGTCAGACTACATGTTTGCTTGCCAACCAATCGTATGTGACCACAACGTATGTGATGTCATCAAGATGGCGGAACTAGGGTCTGACTTCCGGAAATAAGAGCGTAAACAACCTATCGAAGCGGAATGTTATTTAGCTTAATGCTAGTTCCAGGACTCCGTACGCCTACCATCATTTGCCAGCATTTTTTCTCTCACTCTGTCATGGTAGTCACTCGAGGGAACATATTAAGGCAGAAGTATTGTTGCCATAGCTCCACGAACCTTACCTCCATTGAATAATTCAACCAAACAGCACCAATACCATCGTCTCTCTTTTGTTTTGCCAAATTTGAAAGCTGTGTACGGAAGAGCTTCTGTGCTCCTATTGGTGACAGATGGTCACAGATGGGAGGGTCTATATTATTTGAACGCAACTGATGTTGTAGTTACGACTTGCCAACTCCCAAAACTTCCTAGGAGGACTTAAATGCACCATAAAATAAAAACACCTATTGACAAAATGTCCTGTTGTGGCTGTTTAGGACAAAAGCACAATTTTGAAAGACCATCAATGTTCAAAGATGTTTATTGGGTCCAAATGTTGTAGTTACGATATTAGCAGGAGGGGCTGACAGGGCTATGTGAACCAGCTAATCCTTGACCCCGTGGGTGTGACAGGTGTGTGACGGGGTATCTGTAAAGAAAGAAGTGTGTTGTGAGTATTCAATACTCACTGTGGCTGACGGATTGCAGTTGGACAGTTTTCGAGATCTTCTCCTCATAATTAGGAGTGCAGGACTTCCTGCTGACCTTGGACTTAAAGAGTGTGTTTACGAGCGTCGACTTCCCCAGACCGCTCTGACCTGTCAATGAGAAAAAGAATAGATTTAATGACTTTTGTTTGTAAACTGCAGTAAAGTACAATTAACTGCATATGTAGCAGACCCTAAGCACGTTTATTTGCAGGACGACCTTTGCTTAGCATTAGCAGGGGGGATAAAACTTTATTATTGCACACAGATAAGATGGCACACATAAAATTGAGGTCATAAAATATCACATGACCAGGCAGCGCAGGCCTCCAGGGTTTACATAAGCCCTTGATACGGCAAATCATCAGTGATGTAATAAGACCAGGTCAAGCCACGGCAAAGTGCTTTAGTGTCTTATCTGGTGGGTGTCCAAACACACTGACAACACCACACCGTTGGGAGCTTTGGGAAGCTTTTTCACTTAATGACTCTTTCACACTAGTCCTCACGGAGATCAGATCAGAGGGAGGAAGCTATTACCAGAGAGTGAGCCTTATCAAGGCCATCTCAATTCACTCAAATAAGGGTAAATCTATGGGGCCACCTTCATTGCCTCAAAGGACATGTGCTGTGTTAATGTGAGCTGCTTTGTATTGAGTGCTGATGATGAGCAGTGTGTGTGTTCTGTCTCGCTCAGAGGGCCCCTCAGGCCCACCAGTCAGCTTCCCTTTCACAGGGCAGGGGTGGAGAATGTGCTAAACGCTCTCGCCGCTCCGTTTGCACCTGTTGAGAGGCCTGGCCGCCTCGGGAAGCTGTCAATGGATGAAACGATTTGACAGAGATAGACGACAGAGCCGGGAAGATCTGGCCCCTCCATCATTGCCCACCTCAACAGAGGCTTTGATGGATTTACGCCATGGCCTCTTACCATGGGAGGCAGTTGACATCAAATTTATGAGGAACTGACAACCCACGTTGTGTGTCCTCCTGGGCCTCTTTGATTTAACAGTTCAGACAGTGGCTGAGCAAAGAAGGGCTTCCTGAAGCTTTCAGTGTAGTCACACATACTGTACCTGCTCAATAGGGATGGGAAAATTTTGTTCTTTAACGATAGCATTAACAATTATTTTTGGATGAAATATTAAGAAATATTTGGAAAAAAGAAATGCAATTCCATTGCTAGATGGTCATGGTTGCTAGATGATTTTTGTATTAATATAATTAATAAATGCAAAACAATTATTCCATTGCAAAATATTGACTTTTCAATCTTTCTAAAAGAACCACCTCATAAAACGTGTTCATTTGGCAAATCAAACTGCACTGGTCATGCTTTATGTTTTGTATTGTATTGTAAACATCATTTGGTTCAGGTATTTGCAAAAAATGAAATCGGTACAAGTACTGATGATCTTATAAATGACCCTGTGCTGAGATAATGTGAAAAGAATAAAGGCTAGACCCAGTCAGGTGCTTGTCTGAGTCATGCATTGACACATTCACCCAGAAATGCTGAGTTGTAAGAATTTGTCATTTACCACAACCACAAGAAACTTCAACAAATGCAAGTAGTAATTTTACCACTGTCATATGTGTTAAACTCCGATTGATTTCTCAAAAGCATTTCAAATGGTGAAAAACACATCTCCCCTGAGACACTTTGAATAGCAGTTTACAAAGCTTTTCCTTTGAACACAATATCTACAAAGCCCCATCGACTTGCGGGCGACAACAAAGCTGAATGTATTGACTGCATCGAAAATGTCAGAATATGCTAAACTTGTATTTGGGAGCAGACTGCTACTTGACTTATGGGAAACTGGGAGACTCGCAGTAGTTTAAGCCCAGAGGCTACTAAAGGGTCCTGACCTATACAACCGAGGACAAACTACACAGACCAACCGACTCCAAGTGCTACCATATGTGTGTGCGACTCTCGGATAAGAGCACCCCAGGGCAGGAAAATGTGGACAGATGAGCGTAGCGGACCAAACTCATCCTGTAGAGTTTCCTCCATCCTTGCAATTTCATCCTGTTGTGTATATCTTGCTTTCGCACAATTCCTCCTCTTCCTGTATTTTGTCAAGTTTGCATTCGCTGTCATGTCATGTTAGCTAATACATGCTAGTGTTCCCAAACACACCCTTGTCAGAACCCCTGCCCTTATAATTTACAATGTATTGCCAAGGCAACTGCAAAATACACAAACCGAAAACTACACGAACCATTAAACTGATTCAAATACAAACATTCCCTGTTCAAAATAAAAGTCTTTTGCACTAAATAAAAGGTCAATGATTTGTCAATAGTTGTACATTGTGTCGAGAGTGAGTCAAACAGCTCTTTCTTCTTCCCTCTTTTACTGCCACTGTTTCCACACCTGTCTCTGCCAGGAAAGGGAGAGGTTCACCTTTGATGTATGTCCAGAGTAGCACGTATCAGGCATGGAGAGCACCACCATACTTACTACAATAGCAATGCTGTAACTACCACAGTTCACTGAGGCAAGGAGGAAACTCATACAGGCCATAAACCAGCATTTGGGGAAGTGAGCACTGAACCAGAGCTGTTTTGCTCTGTAGAATTCATCGCAAAAATGATATGCTTTAACATGCCTTTGATCTGCTCCCTACTGAACAGGTTTCAAGCTGAAAAGCATCCAAGTGGCCAAAATGTGTACAGGTGAAGACTGTTATTGTCATATCTCCTCCTTATATCATTCCCACACATTTGAGAGAATATACAGCATCATATTTAAAGCTGAAATGTATTTATGGAGTGTTTCAATGGGTGTTTCTTCAAAATTTTGACCTTTTTCATCCTTTTCTTTTTGTTAAACATATTAAAACTGATGTTTTGTATAGATTTATTGTTTTATTTGTTCCAGACTCACATTCAGTCTTAAAATTTGAAAACCAATCATACAAATATTATTACGTTTAACTGATAATTAAAGAAAATGTGAAGTAAACATAAACCAATGCAATATTTGTGTGAATGTATTCTTATTGTACATAATTTCCAATAGAGCTGTAATTTTCGCAAAATTATACAAAAGTGTGAAACTATTATATGATAGTATGTATTTAGGATACATAAAAAACGAAACGAAAACAATAAGTCCTTTTTTTCAAAAGAAATTTTTTTTTATTTCCACTGCTGTCATTTTGTCTGAATGCTATAAATGCGTTTAAGAAAACTTGGCTGTCTATGCAGTAGAAAGGCATTTGTTTCAAAAAAATCTGTGCTGACTGCCTAGGTAAAAGGGTTGTGATGTTCCCTTTTGCCAAAAAGGTAGGGGAACTTCAACACCCATAATGCATTGGGCTCAATCCAACTGTCTGTAAGCAGGGATACAAAATTGTGTAACTACGATCTGTAGTTTTATCAAAAGCCCTGAAGCTGACAAAAGTCAGAAGTATAAGTAAATGGTGGAAATGAGACTGTTGTATGAATTTTCATTACTTACAGAAAAAAAGAAGACCAATTCTCCTGGGATGGGGCTACCGGAGTGTCCGAAAAATGACAGATGGAAACAGGGCTGCAGGACGGTTCTGGAAAAACAGTTTGTAACGCTAGTGGCGAGGGCAGTGGTGCAAAAACGACACATTTCAGCTTTAATTTGTTTTGCTGACACCGTTGTGGAACAGCGGCTGATACTGTGTTTCTCCATGAGACTTGCAGCCTTTGAAGGATTTGGCAAAATGTCCTTTCTATTAACACTATGGAAGAACCACCGAGGGGAATGAAAGCAAAAGCAAGGGAGTGTGGAAATCCTGGCAGCTTGGTTAAAAAAAAATAGGGAGAGAAAAAAGTAGAAAAGAAGAATGGTTCTCACTGGAGAGCTGGATGGCCTTGAATTTGTGATGCTGAGGCCATCATAAATCCCCTTGGCTGGCCCAGTTGGGGAACACTCTGAGCCACATTTGGTTCCAGCCTGGCCCTGCCTCCCAGCCCACAGACAACACAACAATAGCCCTTGCCATTTAATTAGGTAAGGCCCACACTCAGCCAACACAATACCCCCCCCCCCCCCCCCCCTCTCTAGAAACACAGGGGGATTTGGGAGGCTCTAGCACTGTGATTGGTTAGGCTTGAATAAAGGTGGCCATTTTGAATCAGGCAGATGTCCAGTAACTGCCCAAGACAGTTAATACCAGCAAGCTCTGCTGGGTCGGCAGAGTACAGCCTTAGTAGGTAACCTGGCATAAAATATGTGACTATTCAGAAGACTTAAGCAGTTCAGAGGGCCCTTCCTGGACAAAACCAGTGTATTCTCGTGAATTTCATTCAAAGATTTTTATTTTGGTTCTTTGTTTGTAATTAGGGTTGACTACATTAAATATTCACAATAAAGAAGATATAGACGGTTTAATAGCTTCTCTGATTTGAAGATTTGTAGTAACATTTATGGTAAGTTTGATTCATCTGATTCAACGTAAAAAAAAAAATCTAAAGAAAAAAGAATGAATAATTTTTCATAATATATTTGAGAAAAATAATAAATACACAACCATTCAAAAGATTGGGATCAGCAAGGTGTTTTTTTTTTGGTTTGCGCAAGGTTTGTGAAAAAAGTGCCTTTCAAGGCTGCATTTATTTGATTAAAATACAGTACAATCAGAAATATTATTCTAATTTAAAATAACTATTTTCTATTTTAATATATTTTATGTATAGATGTATAGTGATAGCAAAGCTGAATTTCCAGCATCATTACTCCAGTCTTCAGTGTCATATGAACCTTCAGAAATCATTATAATATGATGAATTGCTGCTTAAGAAACACTTAGAAGTTTTTTTGTAATATAATATCTTGTACAATGTAACTTTTGGTCAGTTTAATGCATCACTGCAAAATAAAAGTTAAATAAATAAATAGACTGACCTCAAACATAAACAATCTTTTTAAAATGATGGTTAGTCTTTTTTGGAAAAAAAAAACCCTTTCATTGCAGAGCTAATACATAAATATTGAACTGTATATTGAATATTGTGAAAAGGCTGAAAAATATTGCCATATAATTTGGCACAACCTATTTAAAACATGTATAGTGTTTGTTTTTAATAAAATAAGCCACCTTTAATAAATAAACATATTTAACAACTGCATAATAAATTGTGTGCCAAATGTCAATATGCTATACACTATGCACTTATATATGCTCTATGCACTCAACCATCTGTAAGGCTTAAAATAATATTTTGTCATGATATAATAAGTGAACCATCCAGATATTTAAAGTTCACTTTTTCTTCTTGGAATTATCAGTGTGAAGAACACACTACTTTAATTCATCCTTGATAGTAGCTTGTCTTTTGAAACACACGTTAATAATGTCACTCTGTCCACATATTTCCATTTACGGAACATCCGTCGTCTTCGTCCATTCCTTACACCCAATACCACAGCCATTCTTGTACATGCTCTAGTTACTTCAAACATTGATTTCTGTAACTCTCTCCTATTTGGGCTACCTCTCAAACTTCTCCATAAACTTCAGTTGGTCCAGGACTCAGACGCCCGCATAATTACTAGAAACCTGGAGAGCACATCTCTCCTGTTCTTTATCAGTTACACTGGCTTCCTGTTAAATATCACGTAGAGTACAAGATTTTAAAGCTCTGCACAATCTTGCATCCTTGCATGTCTCTTGACTTAATAAAAATACTTAATGAAACTTAATGAAAAATAAAATGCATTATGATTATTATCACTCACACTATTCATACGACAAATGTGTGAAAATGAATAGTGCATAAGTACGCAAATTTGTGATGCACCTATAGTCTCTGAAAAGAGCTCAGTTTAAACCTTTCCCCTAACAGCCAATGACACCATTTCCCTGTTATAGACTGAACTATATAGTCTGAACGGTCTTGCCCCCTTCAGTCCCTCTAAACCATACTCTACGATTTTATACAGAGCTTTTTACCTTATTTGATGCCTCAAGTCTGTTCTATTTTCATTTCAGTCTTGGCTAAAACCCCCATTTCAACAGTTCACACTTTGAGCAAAGAAAAAAAACAGAGGTGTGAAGTTATTTAGGCCCAGCAGTTATACATGCCGTTGGAAATTGAAAGTTTCAATGTATGGTTAAGAAATCGGCTCTTTTTTTTTTTTTTAAGGGCCTGATATTCTTCTGGTCAAATACAAACTGGACATATCCTGATTTTTTTCCCCAACTAAATCAGACCAATGTTCCACTTACCAACCACCATGATATTAAATTCAAAGCCAGCCTTCATGGTTTTGCGTCTCATCTGGTCCAAGACTGCCTCAATGCCGACATATCCGAATAGATCTCTGCCCTTGATAATGCCTTGTGTGTCAGAATCAGTGAGGCATGGCAGAGGACGTTCTATCTCTACCACTCTCTCCTCCACCTCCCTCTCCTCCATGACCTCCTTCTCCTCCTCCATCCGGACAGGTGGCTCCAGATCCAGGCCCTGCTCCTGTCCTGTTTCTACCAAGAGAAAGAGAGAGAGAGACACCCAAAAGTTAGCATACAGGAACCTCAGATGTTTCTTAAAAAAAAGTCTAATTAAAGCTCAGTCACCAATTGAGTCCTTGCAGATTGTGTCTGAGACACTTTAGTGATGTAATGTCTCATAGACTGTGGGTTATCAGTCTGATGTGCATTGCGGGCACCTAAATATAACAAATAGGACACTATACGGCACTTTGGTAATGAGCAAGGCATTAAATGAATCAAATTTAAATGTGTTGAAATCATTTATCATGAATCAAGTTTAAAAATATTTTTTTATGTGTAAATACCAAACATTTATTTTTATTTCAGTTTTTTTTTTTTTTTTTTACTTCAACTTACTTCAGTTAGTTGCCAAAATAACATTTATAATTTTCGTTTACGTTTAAGTTGTTGTCATATTTATATTTTATTTTATTTGAGCCTTATTTCAATTAACGGAAATTATTTTTTAATAGTTTTAGGTTTTAGTTAATGATAACAGTATACATTATACAAATTAATTTAATTTATTTATTTATTGGGGCCAAAATGTTGGCAGGAAATTAGAAATCTGAACTATTTGGGAAGTAGAAAAACCCCTGGACCAGGTTAGGTTATTTTCCTTTAAGCATTTTTACATTAAGATTCTGTTGTGCACACATTTACCCAACGCCCACGTTTCCTGACATTATGTGCATAGCTTAACGCACAATTCACCGCTGCAATTAATTTGAGGAAAAGATGTTCATTTTTTGCCAGGTTTGTTTATGAGCTAGAGAGCTGTGCGCTGTGAGCATGCAGGTGAAAATTAATGCACATTTTGACTGACAGGAGGCAAATGTAGGTGAGGCACATGTCGATTCAGACGGGAATTTGAAATAAGGCAGCGGTAGGCAATAGATAAGCAAAAGATGCTATTCACACCAAGTGCTAGCAATAGATGCTATTCACAATAAGTGCTAGCAATAGATCCTATTCACACTAAGTGCTAGCAATAGATGCTATTCACACTAAGTGCTAGCAATAGATGCTATTCACACTAAGTGCAAATAGCAATAGATGGTATTCACACAGTGCAAATAGCAATAGATTATTACACAAAGTGCAAGTAGCAGCATTTCTTAGCAATCTCTTATTTACACTTATGTAAAAATAAAATTGTATTTGCAATAAGTGTAAAAAGTAGTTAGAGGATATTTATACTTATAAATAGTGGAAGATACTATTTAGACCTCAGTGTTGTTGTAGCCTACATTTAATGGTATGCAATAATAACAAATGGTTATATTTATTAAAATTATTAAATGGATGGGCCTTATTAGGGCAACAAAGCCCTCCCTAAACCTACCCCTAACCCTAACTGATAAACACACGTTAGACACTTTATTTCTATTTTTTTTTTATATTTTCTTCATTTTTATTGAAAATAAATGCCTTTCCGATCTGATAAGAGATGGGAAACGGGAGTAGAGTGAATTCGACAAAAGGCGTCAGATTTGCGTCAGAACTTTCTGCCTTACCCCTACACTATTGCTGCTGTAAACATTCAAGTGTCTTCCGTAATTTTGTCTGGCCCAACCAGACGTCAGTAGGTGGAGTTAGTATAAATAGCATTTGCCAACAAGGCGGGCTATTTGCACTTATTGTAAATAGACACTGAAATAATGAGGATGAAGAATTGAGAATTGTCCATAATCGTGCTTCCATCCTGGGCTGAAATAAGGCCTTAGATTCATTTGTTAACTTTTAATATTATGGGTCAAGAAGGGGTTAATTTTATCTTAAGGTTTACTCAAGATTCACAGAATGGAAATGAATATGGAAAGTACCCTCAATGTGCATTGAACTTTATGCAGCATAGTGTCAGCAGCGAAAAAAACAGAACAGAAATGGCTTTGCTGCCTGCGCATCAGTTTGTTTAGCTCAATTGAGTTCACTTGCGAGAGCGGCCAACACAGAGACAGCAGTTCACACGGCACTAGTTAACCACTGAGGCACGGACACCTGTCAGCTGGCTCGGACGGAGGATGCTCCATCTGACTGGTGGATAGTGTTACAGGACTAATGTTTGTCTTATCCCTGTATACTGTCGTTTGTACTATTGCCATCTTGAGACAGCTCCGCTTTATAAGAGGATTGAAAACAACCCCCCCTGATAACCTCTGAAGTTGTCTTGTTGGAGAAAACAGTCACATTGTTCAAAACAAAGTCAAAATCACATTACCTTCACAAGTACACAACACTAGCTGCTCAGCATTGAACAAAATCCAGGATTTAAGAATCAGCTCACTCTCATTAGAATTGAATGTGACATTTTACATTTGATTAAAAAAAAAAAGATTTGAAAAAATAATACATTGATGTATCTGGATTTAATTTAAAGCGGCAGTCTGCAGTTTTTCCTCTTTGTCGCCATCTCTATTCGAAATCTGCAATTGCAGTTATTCGCGTAATTATCAACTTTACGTGAGTTGTACTTCGACACAGCACAGCGCGGATGAACACAATGTTTGAGGAGACTGTGAGGCTGTCAGTCATCGTGCAGGTGTGGATACTGGCATTCAGAATCACAGATTATTCTTTTTGGAAGTATGACCAGGAAAATGTCATCTGAACTAGTAAGTAACATCCACTTTTGTTCTGGTTCTGACATTGCAGTAAATCGCGCTGATTAAATCTAACAATCGCTTATCATGCAGTGCAAATTATACTTTGTTCTCAAATTGTTAATGTTAACAACGTCAGCATTGCGTGACTACATGTAATGTCCTTCCGATATGTAACGTTATCCTTGTTTTCGCATGGGTCCGGTTGCAGTCTCTTTTTTCTGTAACCACTCCGAAGTCCGAACGAAGTCTTTTGCATTTTACAGCGGGTGAATCTGTTGTCACTGGTGATTGTCATTTAAACTTTCTGGATCCGCCATCAAATTGATAAATTTAATTATATCAAGTGCTGTGAGAAAAGGCTATAAATCTCCACCTCCAACATCCTCACACGCAATATAGCCGAGACTCCTTCTTTATGTGTACAGATGTGACGTAATGACACAAAGACAAGCTCGAATCTCCCGCGGAAATCCACCAGTACCACTGAAATTAAAAACATTATTACAAGCTTACCGCTTTGAATCGAGCTAAGGCAAGCAGAGAGTTTTGAGCACTGGCTGGTTATGTATTTTCTCAAATATGTATTTTGGATAATTTTGAACCCAAAAAAAGCTACGGACTGCAGCTTTAATATTTAATTCATCCTTAAATTAAAAGGGTTATTTCACCCAAAAATGAAAATTATGTCATTAATGACTCACCCTCATGTCGTTCCAAGCCCCTAAGACCTCCGTTCATCTTCGAAACACAGTTTCAAGATATTTTAGATTTAGTCCGAGAGCTTTCTATCCCACCATTGAAAATGTATGTACGGTATACTGTCCTTGTCCAGAAAGGAAATAAAGACATCATCAAAATAGTCCATGTGACATCAGTGGGTTAGTTAGAATTTTTGAAGCATCGAAAATACATTTTGGTCCAAAAATAACAAAAACTACGACTTTATTCAGCATTGTATTCTCTTCCGGTTCTGTTGTCAATCCGCGTTCAGTGACGCTGATGACGTAAGACGCTGCAGACGTGTAATCTGGTGCGCCCGAGCTTCGTTTACAGTCTGAGGGAGTAGAAAGAAAACAATCTTCGCAAACATGTCTAAGGATTTCGACACAGAGGAAGACTTGCATTTTTTTGCCCAGCCATATTTATTTGAACCCGAATACACGGACGCACCAGAACACGTCTGCAGCGTCTTACATCATCAGCATCACTGAACGCAGATTGGCAACAGAACCGGAAGAGAATACAATGCTGAATAAAGTCGTAGTTTTTGTTATTTTTGGACCAAAATGTATTTTCGGTGCTTCAAAACATTCTAACTAACCCACTGGTGTCACATGGACTACTTTGATGATGTCTGTATTTCCTTTCTGGACAAGGACAGTATACCGTACATACATTTTCAATGGAGGGACAGTCACAGAAATCTCTCGGACTAAATCTAAAATATCTTAAACTGTGTTCCGAAGATGAACGGAGGTCTTACGGGCTTGGAACGACAAGAGGGTGAGTCATTAATGACATCATTTTCATTTTTGGGTGAACTAACCCTTTAAATTCTGTAAATGTAAATGTAAACAAAACTTGGACACCTTGAACTTGGAAAACAGCACAAGAATATCCTACAGTTGCGCTCAAGCTTGTGGGAATGAAGAGTATTACACGTAATCTTATGACAAGCTGAATAATATAAGAACTGACCATCTCAAACATGAGAAGACGAGTTTTATTACCTTGCAAAGACCACAGCTGCTTTCACACCCATATACAAAGTGTGCATGTGTGTGTTAAAATCAGCTCATTTGTGTATGAAAATATGGAAATGTAAAATGATCCCCAGGAAATGCCAAGTCTACTATCCTTTATCATGCATTGCTAATAGCAGTGAGTGTGAACTGCACCCAACATGACATCACAGATACTCTGATTGCTTCATATACATGAGTGTGTCACATTAACAGGTCAACAAAATGCCATTAACACAAGTATGCCAAAACACTATCACACTAGGATTATCTTAAAGGGATAGTTCACCCAAAATTGACTCACTCTCATATTGATCATTTCAATAATGTTTCAGTTGTTTTTGCCCATACAATGAAAAGCATGGAGTCCTAAAAAAAACACGTCGAAGCCCTTTGACTTTAACTGTATGGAGAAACAAAAACAATGCTGATCATTTTTGGGTGAGCAACCATTTTAAGACAAGCTACACCATGGTTTTACAACTAATATTATATGATACATGCATTTTCTGTAAAGCTGCTTTGAAACGATGTGTATTGTGAAAAGCACTATACAAATAAATGTGAATTGAATTGAATATGATCATCCACCTCAGGCAAAAATTAATACTATGTTGAGTTTCTTGGCATCAGTATCTCTTAG